CGAAACGACACACACCACCGCACACGCACACGCACACGCACACGCACACGCACACGCACACGCACACGCACACACCGCGCGCACACGCACGACGACACGCACGCTCATGGTACCTTTGTGGTGGGCGCCCTGGGCGGTGGCCTTGGCATCGAGCGGGTGGTACCACTGCTCGAGGTTGTACTTAGTGACCTGGCCCACGTAGAACCGGCGCATGGTGATCTCGAACATCGATCTGTCGACCACCACCCACACCCACCCCTCGCGCTCCTCATCGTCCTGTCCAACGCCATCATCACCACCACCATCACCATCATCACCGTCATCAACGTCATCAACAACTTCATCAACGTCACTGGCTAACGTGTGCGGTGCGTGCGGTGATGCGTGTGCGGTGGTACCAACCTGGAGCGGCAGGTTGAGCGCATGGACGATGTCGCCGATGTAGAGGAGGTGGTCGCGGTGAAACGCGATCTTGACGGGGTGCGGGAAGGGCGGCTGGGTGACGCCGTCTTCGAAGCAGGGCCGTGCCCGGTGCTTGTAGAGCAGCGAGAACGTACCAAACCGCTGAAAGCACATGTCGCACTGCGCCACCTGCAAAGGGAATTTTCATATTTAAAATCTTATATTTTATATTTTAATTATTGTTGTTAATAGAAAATAATATGTCTAAATATCGAATAAGTAACTAAATACTGATGATAAAGCGCAGCTTTTAAAAACAAAAAATGGGAGTAGTACGCCAGGTTGAACGGCAGAGGGTCGTTCGAGGGGCAGGTTGGTGGAGAGGTCGGTGTAGCGGTAGGGCGACGTGCTGGCCGTTTGCACGTTATTGTTGTTGATCTCGTCCGAGCGCACTTGCACGTGCTCCACCCCTCCTTCCATCCTCAGTTCTCTTTTCTCCCACACTTCCCTCCTTGACTCGTAAACACTTGAATTTTGTAATTTTTCAGCCACTGTCCTTTCCTGAAGCGTCGCCGCCCAATCAGCGCATTGTTTTTAAAAACATCTTATTTATCTATTTAATTATATTTAATTTATATCTCTTTTTGTGATATAAAAAGGTGGGTGTGGGGGCTGCTTGGTGGCGAACCGTGCGGTTGGGGGGTATTGGAGTCCAGGGGGATCCCAGCCTTGCGGCCGGGCGATTTGTTGATGAAGCAGAGTTTACTCTCTGCGTTGGTGAGGAGACAAGCCGAGCGCCTATGCCGGCGCCCAGCCCGTCATGCCTCCATCTTGACGATGGATTCTTGCGAAGTAGTGTCAGCTGATGCTGGGTCCTAACTTCTTGGTGCTACGTCGTCCACAGCGTACGCAGTGAAGTATGCCCATCAGGAGTTGGATATACATATCAGTATGATTACGAAGTAGCACCGAATCCATCTTTGCAAGCCAGGTGCGCCCCACACCCAGCCAGCAGAGGGCGAGGCGACGCCTTTTTGGGGCCTGGGCGTGGTCGTGCGGAGGCCCATTGTGGGACGGGGCAGAAAAAAGCAAAGAAAGACAATTTTAACTGTACAGCGCCATTTCACTGACACGCACGCGTCGACGTGTGCGTGTCGTGCGGTGGTGCGTGTGCGAGTTGCCTGTGTGCGGTGTCTGGAACAGAGTCGAGTGAATATAAGTTTGTTGGCTGTCGTGGCTATCTACAACGCGTTGTGTTTG